AACAAAAACTTTTATTTTGGATGTGATTAATCATTTGACAGCACAATAATAACAAAATTCCCACAACATGTTTTCAGTTTGACAGGCATGTGTTGCTAACTTGCATAACCTCAATTCAATTTTGTTATGCAAAGAAATAATACAATTTTATATAATCTCTGATTTATATTAAACCTAACAACTCTCATTGCTTTGTCCACTACATATGACCTAAAGTAAGCCTCACTGACTAGCATCTTATTGCAGCATCTACCTCTGTGATTGTGAGCACTATAAAAAAAAAATTCTGTTGATCAACATTAGATTGCAAAAAAAAATTATTTATTTTGTAATTTCAAAATTTTGTGTGGTTTAAAAATTACATTTCCTAGTTTGATCATGAACAATAGACATGCTAGTATTCAACATAATTTTCACTGTAATAAGTAGAACTATAAGTACAATTGATATTGAAAGTAAAGCATTCCCCTGATCTTGATATCTGATAACTTTTCTGATAATCAGCTTCCAGACATTCTAGATATTGAAAAGGGACTTATGAATGAGCTGTTGCACATCCAAGATTCTTAAATGTATCCTAAGGGTAGCATTTTCTCATAATAAATATATCACAGGAATTAGCTTGTTTCAACTCAAAATGATTTTCTGCAGCACCTGTTATTTACAATTACCTAAAACATGAAAATCAAAGACTGCACAAGAGCACATTCATTTTAATACAATGCATAATAATTGTATTAAAATGTCATTAAAATTGTCAGGGAGTTTTGGGGAATTCCTCGTGTTAAGTTTGGCTAAAATAGTTCTAGACGCGTTATGTTCATATTTTCCAATAAACTCTGCAGATGGGAGGTAAGTGCTATCTTGTTGGCTTTGCTACAAATGCCAAAAGGTTTGTGACACATCACAAGGCTGACATGAAGATGGCAACTGCCGTAATGGTGCCTACTGAAGATGGAGACCTTGACATCTAAAGTATGCTTAAATAAACTTAAGTTGGCTTTGTTGTACTGTTAAAGGAGAATAGATATGATGAATTTTCTCATAATTCGTAATTCAAGTGGCAGTCGTGCCCTAATGGTTTGAGATTTCGACTTGTAACCCAAAGTGTGTGTGTGTGTGTGTGTGTGTGTGTGCACTTGGATGGGTTAAATGCAGAGCACAAATTCTGAGTATGGGACACCATACTTGCCTACACGTCAAGTCATTTTCACTTTAACATTCATAATTACAAAAGAATGAATTTTAAAGGTGCTGTATGTAAGTTTTTGACTCTACTAAAACATAAAAATACCATAATATGTTTGCAGGTATTTAAGAAACATGCTAAATTAACATACTTGTTTATCTGAAAAACAATGCTACAGTCAGTTCCCATTCAGTCGGTCATGTTCTACGTTACGTCAGTGACTGACAAATTGGGATCTCGTCCGAGAGCCCAATCACCTTCGAGTGTAAACTAAACAAGCCAATGACAGTTGGCGTGCGTGTTTCACAACGCGCCCCCCGCCCCGCAGCGCGGGTATAAAAGGAGAGCGCGTGCAAATGCACATCAGCTTTTCGCTTCGGAGCCGAGCCTTCTCAGGACGAATCTCCGCGAGTGTTTGGAAGAAACAGCTGGCGTTGGTGTTTTGGAGCGTCAGCGGGGGTTGCCCCCACTGCTGTACGGCCGGGGCACGTAGTCTCGGCTCCTCAGTGAAAAACTGATGTGCATTTGCACACGCTCTCCACCCTGAGACAGTCCAGCTGATTTGGAGACGCTTTGGGGTCGCTCAGGTACACCTGTTTGCGTTCCAGGCCGGAATGTCGGTCTCTGTTTTGGTTTGTGAAACCCTCCCTCTGCCAGTTTACCCAATTGTATTTCGGCACCCCGGGTTGCCAGTTGGCGGAAAACACAGCGTATTTAATTTCATTCATCGTCAAGTGCACTCGTTCCTGTTGGTGTCGTCAATCTGGCAACCTGCGTGTGTGTCAAGTCTGAGGAGGAGGGGCCAGGTGAAAAGAACCCTCTCCACTGTTTTGAATTTGGACTTCCAATACCTAGTTCAACCACTCGGTGTCAATCCTACATACAGCACCTTTAATTGCTTAACTTGTTCCTTAGGAGTTTTGGTTCCTGCTTCAGGATGCATCATCTTCCCAAGAAAACTGAGATTACTGGACGCTTTGTCTTCGACAATGAGCGTAAGTCTCTTGGTTTTTGTTTTTATGCATTGCTTTTTATAATCAAAAGGAAACCGGCATCCTTGAGGAAAACATTGCCATATTGCCAATGAATGGTATATTTTATCGATCCTCATGCTCACCAATAAAATAACAGAATTTTTCAACTTACTTATTACTGTTTTACAGGAGAATGCTCAGATGCTAAAGTATCTCATCCATCAAAGAAAATCTAAAACAAATTCATGTAAATTCATGTTCAAATTTGGTAAGGATGGAAGCTCTGCATTAAATTACATTTATATTCTACTCCTGTGATAATACATTAATTTTCTCCGGTGCTTCTCCAAATTAAATCTCAAGCAGCACCTTATGGTAGGAGAATGCAAAGTGTAGCATTTCTGAAATTTGTGTCCATTATGTCACACATGTCACATGTGTTAATACTTTTTTATGAACATTGATTTAGTATGTTTCGGTTCACAAATGACAAAATGTTGATGTGTTACACTGAAATGCTACATTTCCAATTTATTTCCATTTAAATGGGTCATATGATGCGATTAAAATTTTTCCTTTCTCTTTGGAGTGTTACAAGCTCTTGGTGCATAAAGAAGATCTGTAAAGTTGCAAAGACTAAAGTCTCAAATCCAAAGAGATATTCTTTATAAAATTTAAGAGTCAGCCACACCTACCTAAAACGGCTCATTCTAACACGCCCCCACATACCTATGTCACGATGTGGGAAGATTTGCATAATGCCGCCCAAATGTTCACGCAAAGAAAGAAGGCATAACTTTTATTCTCACTGTAGTATTGTTGCCGCAGCCATGTCGTGAAGGAGCTGTGTGATTCGTTGTGAAAGTAAAACTACTTTGTTTGGCCTTCTAAAAGAGGACGATATCGCTTCGTCATGCCTGGAGCTGATCCCTGCTGGTCGCTGAGTATCATGGTACAGACGTGGTCGAGGCTTCGTCTGTACGCCTTTCCCCCGATTGCTCTGCTCCCAGGAGTTCTGGAGAGAGTGAGCCAGGACAGAGTCCGTCTACTGTTAGTAGCCCCGTTCTGGCCGGGCCGAGTATGGTTCTCGGATCTGATTTCCCTTCTCGATAGCTCTCCGTGGGAGATTCCAGTCAGGAGGGACCTCCTCTCACAGGCGGAGGGCACGATTTATCACCCCCGCCCAGAGCTGTGGAAGTTATGGGTGTGGCCCCTGAGGGTCACAACTAGTAGCTTCTGGTCTCTCAACTGAGGTTGTTGAGACCATCCTCCAATCCAGAGCTCCACGAGGAAACTGTACTCGTTGAAGTGAAAACTTTTCACTTCCTGGTGTAGAGACCGCCAGCTCAACCTAGCTAACTGCCCAGTCAGTACAGTACTGGAGTTCCTGCTGGCCCATTTCTCTACAGGGTTAACCCACTCCATCCTGAAGGTTTACGTGGCGGCCATTGCGGCCTACCACACCCCTCTCGGTGGCATCTCAGTGGGGAGACACCCCCTGGTTACACGTTTCCTCTGCGGTACGCTGAGGCTGAGGCCTCTCGTACGATCACGTGTCCCCACGTGGGACCTAGCAGTGGTGCTAGAAGCTCTCTGTAAGCCTCCATTTGAACCTATCGAAGAGATTTCTGATCGCCACCTTACTATAAATACTACCTTTCTTCTGGCAATATCTTCTCTTAAGAGAGTTGGGGATTTACAGGCCCTTTCTGTGGCCCCTTCCTATCTTGACTTTGCGCCCGGTTTGGCCAAAGCATTTCTGTACTCTCGTGTGGGGTATGTCCCTAAATTCCCCTCATCAGCACCGCAGCCCATCGTACTTCAGGCCTTCAGTCCTTCTCCCTTTGGGGAACCAGACCAGCAGAAGCTTAATTGTATGTGTCCAGTGCGAGCACTGGATGCATACGTCCACAGAGCTGCCCTGTGGAGGAGGGCGGACCAGTTGCTTGTGTGCTACGGTCCCCCTAAGAGAGGTCTTCCAGCAACTAAACAGACCCTCAGTCGGTGGATAGTGGATGCCATCTCCATCTGTTATGAGTCCTCTGATCTCCCCTCGCCCTTAGGGGTCAAGGCTCACTCGACTCGAAGTGTGGCAGCCTCTAAGTCTTTTTTAGCGGGTGTGTCTATGCAGGACATCTGTAATGCTGCGGGTTGGTCCACGCCCCTTTGTTAGGTTTTACGGTCTAGACATGCGAGCTACTCCAGGCT